GAGTCGTGACCAACAGAGTATAAAGGGGGCGGGGCTATAAAAAAAAAATAGACTGCCAATGAGGGGCATCATAAGATTACAGAGCCTTAGGTGGGTAACGGGTAAATTTTATTGTGACAAAACCAATATCCTCTGCCCCTCCCCCCCCATTTGAATTTGGCGATAAATAATGACTCCCTTATTGCCCTACCCTCCCCAAGAGTGAACAGTAGATTACCAAGATCAGTGGTGACAAATGGACTGTGTAAGTAAGGGGGATAAGAATGTAATTAATCTGATATCTATCTAACCAATTTAATATAATGAATCTTACTGAAATCTGAGGATAATCTTGTTCTTACTGTCAACCTCTATTTTCCATATACACGTAAGATCAGGGAGATATTGTTCCGGGTATCGCGGTGTTGAAAATCGTCCATCACCTGGCCCCAAGATAACATCATGACCGCAGTAACCTGAAATGAAAACAGCGACAAAATAATTAGTTTCCAGCTTCTTAACTTGTGTATTATGAAGCAGTCAGGAGCAGCTGGGGATGCGCTGATTTGACAGTGAGGGGGGTAAGAGCGGCTGGGAGGTGTGCTGAATCAACAGTGAGGGTGGAGGGGGGGGGTGGGATGCACCAATGGGATATGGTTGGAGGGTTGAGGGCCAGAAATACATGCATTGTAGCATCTCAACTTGGGTATAACAAAAGTAGTTAGGGGTGGTTTTACTGTTACGAGGATGAGGGGTTAGATACATCGCTGGGGTAAGGTACAGATGAAATCCACTGTATGGTCACAGTTGAGAGTAAGAAGGGTAAGCCTCACAATGAGAGGCTTTTTACTGAGAAAATCATAGGTCAGGAAAGACCTACATTAAGTACACTACATGGAAGGCAAAGATTCTTTGCTAGGGAAATCGTGACAAATTTGTTAGTGCCATGGGCTGTGAATCAAAGGTTCCAAATCAAGCCTGGGTTAGGGCCAGTGGCTCACCAATCCCAGGACTGTAGATAGATACATGTAGTACTAAATTTTCTGGGAATGTGGACAAAAATGCTAAATGGAACCTGTGTTGGGCCCATCCATGGGAAGTAGCAATAACCTGGTGTGGTTAAATGTTGGGAAAACTGACAGGGAGACACCCAGGCAGCAAAGGCTCCTCCCCTTGGAAGACTTGATCCAAGTCTTGACAATTTATTTTTAATTAAAAACTGTGAAAAAAAAAAAAAAAAAAAAAAAAAAAGAAAAGAAAGAAAAAAAAAACTGTGTAAAAGCAAAAATAACAAAGACAGAGAAAAATTCAACATACTGGATTTGGATGCTGGAGTACTGTCAACAACAGTGTACTGTGCCTTGAAGGAATGCTTAGAGGTGATACCAGTCCTACTTCTGTGTAGTGTTACTCTTAAGTATTTCCCTGATGAATACACAGGGTATGGCCTTGATGTTCCACAAAATCTTCCAAGAACAGGTGAAGCACTGCTCACACAAAAAAACAAAACATTAAGTTTCATGTACATGTATGCCAGTAAATTTTTACAAGGAGGTAATTACAGTAGGTACACTATTGACTGACTACACACACACACAAAAAAACAAAACAATCAAAACCACAGCAATCAAAATGGCTAATCAGAAATAATACATCACAAGGAGTTGATAACAATCCAGATAACCCTTTGACTCCAACCATCTGTAAACACATTCTCCATACTGTTCTCTATACGTTTCCTATGGTGGTGTCAGGGAGAATTTGTTTAACAATCAAGGGCTTTTGGAGTTAATGTGATTCCCTACATTCTTTTGAATCTTCATGTTTGAATCAGGGATGAAACTGTTACAAGAAATTAATAAGATAGTTACTTCAGGGGGAGATTGTATAGCAGACAGTAAGGAGAATTAAGAATGAGATCTTAGGAGTGAAAGAAAGGCTTAATTGTAAATCTCAGCCAATAGCTGAAGACTTCATGGTACGGTACAGTGTACTGGTAAAATTGAAGAACAGCTCCCCAAAATATCAGTCGGCTGACTGTTGGCTGACTGTTAGTGAACGAAACACAAAAAACATAATGAAAACAAATTCAGAAACGAGTAAATAGACTGTCATCTTGGTAAGTTTGAACTTTCACAATTACCTCAAAATGAATTTTGATGAACACCACGCAATAGAGGTAAATTTCGAGTGCTAGGTATTATTGGCCATATTGTCATTTATATGTGAACTTGATGTGTACTATCTGACTGACACATTTCATTCCACTGAAATTGGAAGAGCTTAGTTACTTTAGTTAGCAATTATGAGTAAATTTTTTTCAAAGACTCCCAAAATTGCACGAGCCTGTGTTTTCGTTGTGTTTTCTGTGTTTCATTGGCTAACAGTCAGCCGACAGTCGGCCGACAGATATTTTGGGGAGCTGTTCTTCAATTTTACCCAGTATACCTGTATCTGCCATCCTGAACTTGAACATAATTCTCCTTGCAGTCCTGGGAAAGGCTCGTAACTTGAAATCTGTCTTTGAATGCCAACTCAATAATGCCCGTCTGTACAACAATGATCCATACACATTTGTTGCTTCCTCCAGGGTGTGCAGGCAGTCTTCCTTCAAAAGTTTGATTATTATTGTCGTTGTTTTTCAATATATCTCCACAAGAAGCTGAAAGAAAACAATAAAACAAGAAATGCAACCTTTAATTGCTGAAAGTGCTGTACCACCTTGTTATGAAAAACTTTAGTCAAACTAGTAAATATTAGTTGAAGTAAACATTAAATAAAATATAATAAATAATCACATAGTTAAAAAGATGTATTAACAAAGATATATTAATGGGCAGAGCATTACAAGTTGAATAACTACACATGGCATTGGCATTAAGAAACTGTTGCCAAATATAACTCTGCAAATACACAGTACCTGTGTACACAGTCTGTAGTCCATTAACACTTAATTGTGTCAAATATGTCATAAAATAATGTGTGGCCTGCTCTAACTTGCAAAATGAAAATTTCCATGTTTCACTCTCCATGTCTTAAATTTAATTACAGATTTTCATTTTGCAAATTACAGACTTTCACTTCATTTGTGCAAATAACAGATTTTCATTTTCCTTTTGCAAATTACAGTAAGAGAAAAACTTTTAACAATGCCAAGAAAATAGTAAACTGATATCAATTTACCTGCACTCTCTGCCACACTTAGAAGAAATTTGTTGTCTTTGTGCTTGCCTGAAGAGAACTTTATTGTAACGCAAGACCCTGATGAGACCCACAAGAGTCCGTCTTGGCTAGTTTTGTGCCGTTGACAAATCTTTTCAACTAGAAAGCGCTCGGAACCACAACCGTTAAAAATTTCTAGCACGCCATTTTTGCAGTCATCTTTGATCTCTGATCCAAAATCAAGATTAATAGCTTGAACAACTACTGCCAATCCTCTAGGATTCCTCACCCTCCATAAACATTCAAAGTGACGAGGCAAAGAACCGGGATACTCCGGTGATGAGAGAGAGAAAGTTGTTCTATTGAGATTGATGTCACCACCACACTCTGAAAAATGGAGATGTTGATTGGCGCTCCAAGCTCAAATTTTTCAAAGTTTCATTTTGCAACCTTATTGAAGAACTCATAAAATTATAAATTATGAAACAACACAAACACTTATGGAAACTGCAATTTTATGATATCTCTCAGCTAGTGCATGCGAGTCATGTTTCACATTGCTTTGTGTTGTGAGTAAGTTTGTTCTCAGTGTCAAGAAAGCTGTCATTTACACCAATATAACTTACCAGGCTCTTGGTGTCGTTCTGCAACAACAAGGAGTGGCCACAATAAAAAGAAACAGACTGGGAATAGAAACACAAATACAGACAGATGAGACATTGCTTATAATCCAGCATATTGCATGGGCATAATCCCTAAAATGTATACAGTTGAACCTTGATTATCTCGATTTCCTGATTATCTGGACTTTTCCTCTGGTCCAAATTTTGTCATGAACAGTTATGAGTCATGATCAAGATACATAGCTATATTCTTTTTAAAACTACAGCATTAAAAAGTTAAGTAATGGCAAGTTTAATTTGTTTTCAAAAAGCAAAAGCAGCCATCACAAGCATCATATTAACTAATGAAGAACATTCAAATGAGGTCTGATTGGCTCAGAGTTGCTTTGTTGCTCTATTGGCTTGTTCAGTATGGCATGTAAGATTAACAAGCTATACAGCATCATGAATGTTCATTCATGATCCAAATGATTTGCAAATGTTTTGTTCCAAAATTAAATGTTGCTTTCTTGATTTAATCGGTTTTTGTTGTTCATTAATATTCATTTTCTCAATTAACCAGACCCTAGATCTACACTATCCACTACATGTAGTTCGGCAGGAGTTAATTATATAATGTAGACAACCTCGCAATCTCACCAAATCTCAGAAAGTCCAATTTCAAGTCCAAACTTCACTAAAGTTATCCCATTTAATAGTTGTCTAGAAGAGTATTTGGTACTCTAGAGGCCAGTTTTCCCTTGAAATGGCATTGGAGTCATAAAAATTCAAAAGTGCAGAAAGTTATTATCTAGTGAAAATCAAACCGATGGAATTGGAACTGAAAAATACTATTGCCACATACAACTCTGTGGCTTACAATCTATCGAAAACTGAATTGTTGGAGCCATAAGCAGGAGACTACTGGAAAGGCCTGACAACTGACATTGTGATTGGTCGTTTTTCTGCTTCTGCTTGCGACTCTGTTTTCACTGGATTGTGAGCATCAGAGTCATAAGCTGGACGAAAATGAAACCATTCTGATTCTTGTGACTAAGATTCTGTAGAGCTTCTGACTCCCCTTACAACTCTGATTTTCAGTTTTCACTCGGTTGGAAGCACTCTGGCTCTGATATGGTCACTAGTGAAAACCAACCCCAAAAATCCACTAATGTCACTGAAACAAAAAAAGTCAGCCAGAAACAAAAATATATTGTCTTAGAGAAAACCAACTGACCATGACCTAATTAAATGAGGAAAATTTTACCATCGTAATATCCGCTAAAAAAATGCCAACTTAACTTAACTTAAGTACTAAACCGGTGAAATAAATTTAAAGTGTTGTCAGTGAGAAACTTATCAAAAGCAGTTGGTGCAACTTCACAAGTAAATTTTAATTTCAAGACAAGCTAATCAAATTAACAAAAAGGGTTATGTACGAAGCAATTATCAAGGGTATGATTGAATATTGCCCTGAAGGCAAAAAGAGTAAGAAAGAATAAGATTAACTCGTCTGCATTTTCTTCGTCCAGACTCGAGACTCCATTTCATCCCAGCAGCAAAGCATGGGCATAGGAGCGGTCACGAGATCATTCACAGAGTTATAGTAAAAGACAACGTGGCTAAACAAAGCATTCCAAAGGTGATTTCACATCTGTTCGACTTGCACTGTACGAACTTGTCAAATATGCTCATTCGCGTTCAGGAAGGTTTGTTCTTCAAATCTCACACAACGATTTCGTTCGAGTATCCTGGCTACAATGCATTAAAATGGGAAAATTTCCTTTGGAAATGACATGTTGTTGCGAAAAAAAACTCAGTATTAGCATCTTAGTACTGTCACAGAAATGAAAGTTGGCTACTACAGATCACGTACATGCACTTTTCACATGATACGACGTATTTTGGAGAACGTGACGAGTATTCATTTCGTTGTGATTGCAAAACTCCATTTTAGTTCCGCTCGTCACATTGAGTAACTTTTGTGCGAATTTTGCAAATGAAATGTCCATAATAACATCAAAAGTAAGAAAAATCTCTGCAACTATGAATCGATTCTGTGCTAGTTGAGACACATTTTGCATGGTCAGAGTGTAAAATGGCATCACGGTCCAAAAATAGAAGTCTAAACAGTGTACCTTTCAATTATCAACAGGTCGGTATTCGGAAATTTTGAAAAAAATTACATGGCAGACATCAAGCAGAAAGTGAAAAAAAAAGATGCATGCATCCACGTTTTAAACGATCGTAATCAGTTTGAAGTCGCAATGTCATTCAAGTAATCAAAGGGTACTTGATACGTTTTGAACTCACCAAAACAAAAATGGGTGAAGAACGTGTTAGACGGAATGCCGAAGAACGGCCGTAGAAATTCCATGCCTTTCCAATCCTGCACCTCTTTTAGAGTAGTCTTCCTCCGAAGATAGAAAAAATTCGCGGTTAGCAGCCCCCAAACTGATCGCTTTTTATCGAGCTGTAATAGTTTTGATCGCCGTTTCAAATGCGATGGCTAAGAGTACGACTCGAAGCAGACAAAGCCCACAGTACGCATGCTTCGCTTCATTGAAAGCTACAGTCAGCAGTGCATGTGATAACTTGACACGGCGGTGTCCGACATTTGCATACAAAATCGCGCCCTTTTCCCCTTTTCGTCATATTACAAAAGGCTTTATCTGACAGTAAGGAAGAAACTATCTTCAAATTAGGAAACAGTAGCCAAAGCTACATAAGAACTCAGGTTATTTTTGGTGTGTTATGTGTACCCCTCACTTCCGGCTGTCACTTTCATTTGCAGTATGTTGTGTGCACTTGAAGCCCTAGTTTCCGGTCTCTACTGAACTTTTTAGTCAAAACGACCGATTTCGTTTCCGTAACGAGACAAAACTTTTTCATCTTTCTTGGTTCCTTGAGGTAAAGAATCAAGGGTCTGGTGGTTGGAACTAAGCCCTGTTTCTGTTGTATTGAATGCGACTGGGAAAATCGACCCTCAGTTCCAAACTTTAACCCTCATCCACCAACCCTCGTGGCGGAGAAACGTGGCTTTACGGAGGGTCTCAATGCCGGGTGATGGCTGTTTACGGCTAACGGTTAAAATGTTGGCCATTTCACGGCTATTTTCTTCCTTTGTTGTTAAAAGGAAAACTGTTACGGCTAACATCCTAACTTTTGTATTACTACTAGCAATTAAAATTCGTCAATTTTTTCACCTAAGGGTTAATTTTTTTTTCGCTGTTTTACGGCTAACAGTTGACCTCATTGAGGCCCTCTTTAGGGGTGTGTCCATTCAGAGAAGCTACGAATTGTTGATAGCTCAAAATCGAGCCTGTTCAAAGCGTTTATTTGGTAAAACGGACGCGATACCTATGCTCAAAGTTGAGTAAGAGAAAGGATAAACACAATTACGGAACAATGAATAAACAAGATCTTCACATAAATAAATATCGAACGGCAAGTGATCAACGTACATTCTTATACAGAGCAACTAAGATTTGGAACTCTTCAGACACTTCTTTAAAATCTATTGTAAGTACCACTCTTAAAAAAGAAACTCGAGTCTATCTTGATACAGAATTTATTGATAAATGATAAATTGAAAGTTGAAGTTAAAAATTGGTTGAAAGATGATCATTTATATATATATATATATATATATATATATATAGAGAGAGAGAGAGAGAGAGAGAGAGAGAGAGAGAGATACACAATCAGGATGGGTGATTTTTTTCTCCTTTTACCTTCTCACGATGAAAGTCTCAAGTATTTTCCCAACAATACCTGCAGCGCTTGGACCAATAGACTCGATCCACCCCTTCAATTACCGGGAACTTATCAAGTGGCCTTCGTGGAAATTTCGATGCCGGACGAAAATATCTTGACGCATTATCTGGCGGGATTACACAGTAGTGATGTGCGCGTGGAAAGAATGGTCTATTCGGTGGATGATGACAAATTTCTACCTTACAATATGGNGGCCAACCAAAAACAAGGAAAGCGTCCGTTTTACTAACTGTGAAAACGCCCTGGATCTGGAACAGGCTACTCAAAATCCGCAGGGTGAAATGAGCAAAAATAACAAAGGAATTCATCAGACCTGAGCACTCATGAAATTCAACTCTTCGAGAGTGGTGTTTTCTGTGCTTCTCAGTTTTACAGTTGTAAAAGGGGAAGGAGAAAAGAATTTCTATCAGGATGGCCTGACCGAGAGAGCCAAAATTCTAGCTAAAGGGCGAGTATGGGGGCTGCAGTTTTCCGTAAAGACCTCTAAAAGTAAATTCTGCAGTTGCCTTTGAGGTGCTGCAAAATTCATTCTACGTGGTGCAAAATTCCTTAATGAGGATTCCCTGCTTGGATGACTAGATTTTTCTTTTCCAGTCTTGCAACGATAAAGTGATTCTTGCTTCAAGGTCATGCACTTTTACTTCTTGAAGAGCGCAAACTTTGTGGAGCTTACGCAAAATAACAAATTTCAAACCTTGTTAAGTTGAATTATTTGTATTTATCCACTCCACGGAGTGCTCCTTATTATTTGAAAGTGGCTTTGAAACTCACTCCAAGAGTGTAGTGGGACTTTTTCCTTGTCTTACGATAAGGGTAGGCAGTACTTCCTGTTGAATTTAACGTCAAGAAAACAGAGTAACATTCTTTCCCTATTCACTTCGGTTGTAATTACGTACTTTGATTATGCTGAAGTGACTCAGAATTTGGCTAAGTGGCTTGTACTTCTATTTAAAGTACAAAATGACAAAAACAAATGAGTGGACTATAATGACAAGAGAAGTTTATTTCATTTCACATTGCACACTAGTCGACGCGAGTAAGCATAGAATAACTGAAGAACGATGAAAATGTTACATTAATATTACTAAGACTGCCATAGAGTCAAGCATTAAAACGGCCATAAAATACATCAAATTAGCTCTAAAATGTAATTGACTATTGCATGAATATATATCACTTGTTAAAGGAAAGAGTGATTTTTTTAAATAACCTTCTCCCATATTTTGCAATCAGGAAAGTTTTCGAAGCACTCACAAGCTCTCCAAAAACATCACTGCTCTAATAACAAGCGAGGAGCCCAGATATAATGGGCGAACGAGCATTTGTATACAAGCCGTCTCACTTCATAGATCCTACACTAGCTAACAAGCAAATGGCTTTTGACCTTCAGATTACTAAATGTCATCATAATGTTATGAATTACATGTGTGAAGACGATACAGTTCTCATTTGGTTAAAATCTGACTTATCAAGTAATTATCATGGATAAAAATCAATTTTTGTGTACTGAATAAGGCTAAGTAAAAACTTAAGATTTCGCCCATCCACCACTCATGATAACACAAACTATAACGTATTTTTTATCATTGGCAGTAACATAAAACAGTACTCATGGATAAATTTGTAAGCTGAACAAATATTATAACTGGTAAATCTAAAATCAGGGCAGGATATTATACAATTATTGTGGTTGACAAAGTCTTAAAAAGTTAAAGATCTCCTCCGTATCCATACAATCTAATAATTCTTTATGAAATTATTATTGTCACCATATCATGTCACACATAAACTATGTTACGGCAAGCCTTTCATTGAAAAAGGCTAGTCATATTTTTCAATCTTGAAAACTTGAGCCTAGACCTTTCAAGACGGTAACTACGATCTGTTTTAATCGTATACATTCTCTACCTTTCTGGGATACCTTTGAATCTATTGTGTCACACTAGTAAAGGAAAAAGGGGTTGAATATAAAGAAAAACAATGTGATAAACCCCTAGAATTAAATGAGAGACTGTTTCAGAGGTATATAAGACCATCATTAGGTATGTTTGAGAAAAAAAAAAACAACAACAACAACAACAACAACAGCATTGAATTAAAAGATTTCCACCTGACAAAGTTCTCCACTAAATTTTGATGAAAGCTGAATAACATTCAAAAGAAATATTTCCTTTGCATAATGAAAGCACTTTCAGAACAATAAAATTAAGAACAGAAGGACGTTCAAATATAATGGGCAAATTTTAGTTAATAAAGCAAAACAACATGACAAGATCACTAACAAAATCACCCTAATTTATCGCTATTATTCAATAAACAAAAAATGTTGTTTCTCCAAAGCTCAAATGAATTTCTCAGTTTCTTTTTGGTTTCAAGTTTCGATTCTGGTTAAGAAAATTAGGTGCAAGGATGACAAACATTTTATTTGCGAAGTCACCTGGACCGATCTGGTTTAATTAGTTTCAATTACATCATAAATATTTAGAATCACATGGTGTATGCAGTGCTTTTAATAAGACCCAGCACCCGCTGGAGCTCCGGCGAGTATTCTGTTGTGAGTCGCTGGGTATATTTCATGGCGCTCAAGTTGCAGTCACCATGTTCAAGTCACGCTCCAGTCACTCTCTGGCCGGTGCTGTACCAAGGTAGCCACCTACTTCAAATCTTATGGAAAGCACTGTGTATATGTATGTTGAAAATCTCACAACTGTCCTGCAGTTGGCAGACACCGCACCTGATGAACCAAACCTTGAAATCATAGCATCACTTATGAATAATAAATTGAACTTGACATCAGAGCGTCAGAGAAAGTTGTTAGTAAAAGATATCTACCTCTATCATGAATTTGGGTAAATAGCCAGCAAAAAAAGACTATCCACATTACTGACTTAACACTGTACTCTGGAAGATGAAAGTAAGAATTATCACAACTCTGTCAAACACAGCCGTTTGTGCAACAGCTAGAGCATGCACCAACCAACTTGTGCGGCCAAAAAAACTGTTGAAACCCACAAACCACAACAACTCGGGTTATCATTAAGAAATATTATTTGAACCCCGAGTATGGAAAGTTAACAGGTTTGGGCCTGCTCTAAGTACTTGGCTTAACAGCAAGTATATTTCAGTGCAAGTAAACTTGGTTTATAGTAAAGCATTCTGGAGTCCTGAGGATGCACTTCAACAGGCTTGTGAAAACATGTTCACATGCAGCCATAAAAAGCAGTAGGAGCAGTTCATACATGCATCACTGTTTGGATTGTACTTTCACAATTCTATCACCTCCTACAAATTCTTTTCAAGCTAAACCTGTGCACTATACTTTAAACAGACACCCACTAAAATATCTTTAAACACAACAAATATATATATCTTGTTAACCATGCGTGAGGGCCGTACTGGGAGAATATTGGCCCTTGGTCTTTTTTGCACGGACCGAGCGCAGCGAGGTCTGAACAAAAAAGAACAAGGGCTGATATTCTTCCAGTACAGTCCCGAGCAAGCTTGGTTAATAAGAGATTTATTATACGACTGAAGTTCAAAGGGACACAAGTGTGGTGTCATTTGGGACAATTCAGGACAGTGCCCAGTCCAATACTTAGAGAATATTGGACCGGCAATAGAGCATTTTGATTGGTTTATTTTAGTTATTGGCCCTCTGACTGCCCGAGTCGTGTAATAAATGAAATTCATATATCACCTCAATTTTTAGTATTTTTTTT